CTGGGGAATTCTGGGAGTTGAAGTCCACCCGTCTTAAAGCCGCTCAGGTTGAGAAACCCTGCCCTAGTAGGTGGCTGAGATCGGCCTCTGGCCTTCACCTTTTAGTGTTTTGCTGTTTTTAAGGATGCAGGGAAACCCATCCAGCACACGCCTTCTAGCGCTGCAGAAACTTACATTTAAAATAGAGCGATTTGTGCAAAGCCAAGGCGGTTGCAACCTCCCCCCCCCCAAGACTCCAGCTATCTCAGCGGTGACCCTGCTTCTGAATCTCTGACCTAAAGCACGCTTCCAAAGAAAATAATAATAATCAGTTAAACTTGCACGCCGCCCGACTGTCAAGGATGGAGCGTGGGGGTCCTGACCCTCTCTAGCCAGTTTGCCCACGCAGGAAGCGCAGGATGGGGAAAAGGGGTTTACAAGTCTTCCCAGGGTCCAGATGTTCCCAAGGAGCTGGGGCAGCCTCCAGTATTATTACAGGATTCCTGCCTGCTGTTTGATGTAGCCCTGTGCAAAAGATATTTAAAGCAAACTCAGAAAGAGAAGCTCTGTGTGCTTAGGGTTTTATTGGTCACTAAAGAATACATTTAGAAGTTCTGCTTGACGGCTGATCAAGCAGCCGAGGGAGGAAAATAACTTTCCACCCGTGGGCATCGTGGATAATGTAATTCCTGCAACAGCACGTGCAGGAGACAGCACAAATGTGCAGCTGAGCCGAGGACGACTTGGGTCAAAGAGAAGCGTTTTCATTAAGGTGGGAAGAGGAAGGGCTGCAACGTACAGGGGTGTCTGGGCTGTGAAAACAGCACAGATAAATAAATAAACCCTTTCTGAGACCCCAAGGCGAGAGGTTTTAGAGCCAGCTTTTGCAAGTTTCTGCAAAACAGGGCACAGAGAGAACTGCTCCTGTCTGTGCTCCGGCACTCTGAAGATGCCGGTCACAGGTGTTGGCGAAACGTTAGGAAACAAAACTTCCAGAACACGGCCACACAGCCCGGAAGACCCACACCAGCCATTTCTGCAGAACAGTTTACAGCTGCTTTCTAGTCCAAAATATAAGAATACATGCACTGCTTCTTTATTGTAGATCGGATCACACAGCTGGCATGATTCTTCATTTAAAGTTCTGGTGAGCATACAGAAAAAAACCATTCTCCTTACAGCTACATAACAGCCCAATACTTTTTTTGCAGGGGGGGAACTGCTTTATATAAATACATTTCCATCGCCAGGTTGGCTGCGCTGGAGGATGTGGCCTAAGGGTTTCTTTAACATGGCGCGCCGTGTAGTAGGGTCGGGGAGCAAAATTTAAAGAAATCAAGACTCGGGTACAGAGAAAAAACCAGGAGCCTGGTAGCCCTTTTCCAACTAGCAATTTTTTAAAAAATTGTTAGCATTCATAAAAGTTGAGTCGGAAAAGGGGCTACCAAACTGATTTTCTTTTGCCACCGTCGACTAACACGGCTCTCCTACAACGCCTGAGACAAGAAATTGCTGGTTTTCATATCACACCTGCCATAAAGCTGGTAGAGAGGCTCGGGACAGCCACTTGGCGTCTTCCTGAGATATTGGAGTAACTCCTTGGATTTTCCTACTGGCCATCAGAAGCGTCAGGAATGCTTTCCCTTGAGCAATCTAGCATCGGAAGCCTTCGCTCAAGGAAGCATTTACTACTAAAAGAGGTTTTTGCAGGGGCGGCTAATTCCGCTCCATCTTTTTTTTTTTTTGATGTTTTTGTTGTTTCGTGAGCCACCCAGGGTTGTGGTTCGTAAGATGGGTGGCTATCTAAGTCTTTTAAATAAATAAACGATTACCAGGACTGCTTTACATAGATCATGTTGGGTTGTTTGGTAAGACCACCCGAACACGCAGGTTTCTTAGCCCGAATCCCCAAGAAGCGCAGACTTCAACTCCCAGAATTCCCCAGCCAGCGTGTCAAAGTCCGCACATTGTGAAAGTTGCCAAGGTGGGAAACGCTGCCCTGAGCTCTCTTTCCAGGTAAAGCAGCCGTCACCTGGGCCAAAAGATTCTGCAATTCTCAAAAAGCAGCTGGCTGGGGAAAAAACTAGCTAGACAGAGCCAGGATTTGTGCAAAGGAATTGGCAACCGCTGACACAAACTGTAGCTGTCATTTGCAAATAGTGGCCCATAGCTCTGTGTCAGGATTCCAACCAGAAGTCACTTTGGCACCTCTCAACGAAGCAACAGGGTGATTTTCCAGAGAGCTTCAGAGCAAGCAAACCCTAAAACCCCGTTGCAGCTTCTAAACATCATGGTCACATATTAAATATCACCCGATGAGAGTCTGCATGTGTGTCCAATGTGACTTGGGTCAGTTGTGCAAGGATGTCACGATATGTGTGAGATCACTGTGTCTTCTACCAGACCCTTGTGACCACACTGGTTTCTAAGTGGGTGCTACAGCAAGAACTTGGATCAATGCAAAAAAACAACAAAAAAAGGTGTTAACAGGTTCCATTTTCCAAACCGCATTTTCTCTTTCATTCCAGATCTTGTACCTTGTCTAAAGGCATCTTAAGATTTTTTTTTTTCAAACAGATCAGGCTTCATCCCCGCCACCCGCCAGAGCTCAAGTGCCGTCCCACTCACGAGAATCAGCCTCGGGTCTGCAAAGGAGGCCCTCCTGCGTGCAGTGACCAATTGCCACCTTCCCCTGAAATATCCTTGGATACCAGCATTCGCTCCAGGCAGAAAAGAAAATTCTGATACCGTTTGGGGCCACAGCAAAGCACGAGGCATCTGGGTGAGTAAAGCCGCACGGAGAGAGTTTGAAGGTGGACCTTCCGAAAAAGGCTTGGTTCCATGTTCATGATCAACGAATTCACAAACAGAGATATCCTTTAATATTCTGCCTGCGTGGTGGGATCACCACAATGCTTTTTTTCCTGAACAACCCAGGAAGATTCAGGAGGCAGAAGAGTCAGAGGGGTGATGCTGAGAGGCTCCAACTGGCTCAGTCTGAGCCAGGAGGGGTTAAAACCCTGCAGAGGGTTCTGTGCGGGAGAAATTGCTTTCTTACAGGCAGGCCTCGACGTACCATGAAAGTGCCGGAGGAAATTCTCTACCCTGCCTCCCTGCTGGGCAAAACAAGAGACCTTTTTGATCCAGATTGATTAGGCGGGGGAGAAAAGGAAGAGAGTATCAAATACTTTTCCTTAATATAAGCTTTCTGACGCATACAAAAATACTGTATTTTGCCAAAACAAAAATGCTTTCAATTGGAACAGTGACTTTTCATCCTATCAGGAATCTAACTCACCTGGTAAAACTTACTCAGATTTTGCATAGAAATAAAAAACGGAAGCCATTGCCAAAACAGTAACATTCGTAAAACAAAAAAAGTGAATTATTTAATGCACTAACAATGTTAATCTGAAGATAAATCCACAACAGAATGAGATTTTTTCCTTTCTTTGTAGAGCATTTTTTTTTTCCAAATCATACAGTACTGAGAAGACATCATTTTAAGTTCTGCTCCGCGTCCAGGTGCGACAGACAGTTCTCTGCTTTCTTTTTTGGTTTTTTTTTTAACACTCAAATCCTAAAGGTGTCTCTCCTTAGCTTTTTTTGTATGTATATGTGTGTTTTACAAGAGAGTAGCAAGCAAAATGTGGCTTTCAAGAATAACTGGATGGTTTGCTTCCTGATTCATCTTCTTGGGAGCCCATGCTCTGTCAAGGGAAAAACAAGAGTTGCTTTAATTTGGAAGAACAGAAAACAGAATCCCTGCCCTCTCTGTAGAGACAGAGCAGAGAGGGGACTCCAGCAGAAAGAACAAGATTTTCTATCCAAATAAAGATGATTCCTTTATAGTTACAGAGATTCAGTGTTTTGATTAGGATTTTTTTTTAACTTCAGTACGGTGCGACTTTTCTTCCACTTTAGCATTTGGTAGACAAAGCGATTCAAGAATGCCTCTGATGCTTACCTTCTGCACAAACTGAGGATTCACAGTGATCTCCTGATCCATAGCTTTCAGTCTCTCATCAAGCTCTATACATTTCAACATCTAAAAGAAAAAGAACGTTTTCCTTTGGAAGCTGTGTTACTGAGGCATTTTCACATGCTGTATCATTCTCGGGCAGACACACCCACAGAGCTGACTTGCTGCATGCAGGACAGGGGCAGAAGAAGTACCTAGCCCTCAGTCCCTCGTCCGAAAGCCAGCTGAGTTGCTGAAGGCAACTGTGGTCACTGGCATGGCCTGGAACTCCTATATGCACTTGAGACTTCCACATCTAGCAGATGGAACCTATACGTTTAGGGGCTCTGTTTAAAATACCACACTCCTGCCTTACAATTCCATATCCAGCTAGATGTTTAATGCCTGTCTTCCATAAAAAGACTGCTTGAAGTACAAGAAATTAGAAGAAACATCTGAGATTTGATCTCCCCCGTCACCCAGGGAATATGTACCACGCTGGAAGCAGAAGAGGGTTTTTAAAAATGCTCCAAGGGACTCCCTGCACATAATCTTTCTATCTTGCACGCTGGCCTGCGGTGCTGGACTTTCCAAGGAGTCACAATGTGGAGAAACCTTCTCCTCCTTTGCCACCAGAAGCGCTTCAAATGTGCAGCTGGCCGCCTCCTCCGGCTGCTTCCCTCAAAATCAACAACCACCATTTACCTCCTGGTCAATGTTGTGGAGCATAGCTGGGTTGTTATATTTCTCAGGATTATCGTGAAAACAAACCATGCCATCTTTCTGGTTAATACTTGCAAAAATTTCACCATCTTCTATCTGCAAAAAAGAAATGATGAAAGCATTGCTTTGCTTGGAACACCCTTCCTCATTTATTCAACATCTAGTCAGCTAGGGAGCACAAGCAGCTCCCTGCACCCCAACATTAGGCAGGAAAGGGACAACAGATTAAACCCAGTGCCAGGGAAAGCTCAGGTCTCATAAGAACCAAGCGAATTCTCCTCTTTCTATTTTGCACCCTGCTACTGTTAATCAGAGGAACGGGCATTGAACAGCGGTGGTCACCAAAGCTCCCTCAGGAACTGGAGACCTTGTTCATGATTGTGTGCTAAAAAATTGCATTAAGGTAAGCTCCCTTCTCGGCCCCTGGGACTGGAAAATTGCTCCTTCCAGCAGCATTTCAATCAAAACAGAAATGATGTCTTTACATCAGCAGGTAATAATTTGGAAGATGCAATTTGCAAATAAATCCATGAGTCTCTAGCAGATGTCATACTTTTCCCTGGCTTGACTGTATATTCGTAACTCCAAATTCCTCAGTCTAAGTATCTCTATATTTAGTGATCTTCAGTTCCCATAATCCCAGCATCATGATCAGCATCGCTCAACCTTGGCAGCTTTCAGATGTGTGGACTTCAACTCCCAGAATTCCCCACCTGGGAATTAGGAATTCATTAGGACACTGCCTTAACGTTTAGCAACGTGGATGTCATATTCCTTAGGGACCCCTAACACAGTTATGACTACTTGTAAGCTACTTCGCACACAGTACATACTGAAGAGGACTACTCCAACACATTTTTGTGACTTTTATGCTATCCAAATATCATTTCCCCCGAAGGCAGCACTCCTTACCATATGAAGGACATATTTTTCTGCCTCTTGGGGTCCTGACAGTTGCACTCTACTCGCCATGTCTTGTAACGACAGCGTTAAAAAGGTCTGAAATGAAGAAGTACAGCCACATGGTGACATTTAACAAGTCTCTCTTCTCCAGCGCCTGGCGTATGAAGCGGAATTTGCAGGATTCTGCACAGTAAAAAGGGCTACCTCGGGCAAGGCAACTGATAGCCTAATGAAAAGTCACCCCAGTCATTTTCTCTGCAGGAGCCCCTCGGGGCCTTGGAGGGTGCTCAGTCTCAGAACGGGGGCCTCACCTTAGTTAGCCTCTGAATGTTCTTTTTGTAGAGAGATGACAAGCACTGCTTCACCAGGCCCATGTTGTTATCTCGGGTGAAAGTCTCGCTATGCTTGTTCACCAGATTTCGCAGTTCCGAGGGCTTATTGGTGGCATACACTTGTGCTAATTCGTGATACGCATTGCTAAGCGGCTGCAGGGAGAAAGGAGGACAGGTTGCAAAAACAGAGGGGCGGGCAACTCAACCCACCGATCCAGGGCAGCCTTACAGAAGACAGGCTGCTGGTCTGTCAACCCCCACACTGGCTATTAAAATTGGCAGCAGCTCTTCGGTTTTCCCCCTGCTTCCCCAGAACCTCGGCAAAGAACGTCTCCTCCTTTGCACGCTGCTGCCCTGAACCGATCAGAATATTTCGACGACTCCTTCAATCCGGTTCTACTCGCTTTACGGTTCCTAAAGCTGGGAGAGGAAAATCTCCTTTCCCCACCCTGCCCCAGGCCAAGGCCTCCCAACTCTTTGACCAGGCAGGATCTCTGGAGCCTCACCTTAACAAATCTACCTATTATTTGAGAGGTGTATTTCGGCAGCTGCTGTACTTTGCCAAGGAGTATCAATGAGACTAGGATATACTTTTTGTAAGACTCCAACATAATATGACTGACAGCCATGGCGGGAGTCGTTATAGCCTGAAAAATAAGAAAGGAAAGTTAGAAGCAGCCAGCAGAAAAGAGGAAGGGGGGACCTTGGAACCCCGGGATAAGAGGAATGCCATGGGACGCAACGAGATGCTTTGTTCCAACAGGATGAAAATTCCACCGAGCCTACTTCAAACCAACTTTCCAAGGACAAAGGAAAGGTTCCAGCTTTGCTTTACAACTGGTCAAACAAAAGAAGTCCATTTCTAGAGAGGGAGCAATTTAGCCTCTTGCAGAAAGAAAAACCAAAGAGCCCAGAGTCACCTTAAAAGACTGACATTTGTTTATGGCACAACCTTTAACGGATCGCGATGCCTTTTGTCTATTGTGAGGAGTCACAACTTCCAGTAGTACACTCTAAGCAAGGAGGCACGCTAGTGACTCTTGCATGCTTATTTTTACAGAGCGGTCATGCCTTCGAGATCTTCTTCGACACCAAAAAGAAGAAAGAGTTACCTGCTCGTAAAAATAGAGTGCTCTTTCGAAGTTCTTGAGCCCAGTGTATATCATTCCACCATAGTAGTAGTAACACAGAAAGTGCTTGGCATCATAGGCCCCGTTTTCTTTACAAATATCCATCATGTCCACATCTAGATACGGGAGGGCAGGTTTAAAGCATTTTGCTAATAAACAGAGCTAAAATGAAACAGACCAGAGTTACAAAACCAGCTGCTAGTCTCACTTGCTTCACAGCAAGAGCGTGAATCGTAGATCAAGGCAAAACACAGTTATCGGTTCTCAAACTTCAGGCGAGTGAAATACTCAGGGTGGGTGTGTCTGTGGGTTGGTCTGTTGATTAAAACCACAGAGAAATACAGACTATCGCGCT